ATAAACCCAAAAAAAAAAAAAAAGCATTAAGCATCAAATCCTCAACCAAACTCCCATGCAACTTCCCAAGTCAATGTTACTCCTTAAGCATTGATACCACAAAAATGAAGAGCAAATCCAAGCCAGCAAAAATTTGATTACCTGAATGGACAAAAGTTGAAGAATTTTATTAAGAACCCGCAAGCGGTGAGTAACATAAGTACTAGTCGCAGGAAGCCGATTCATTCTTTTCATTTCTTCATGAACCGCCGCGGACTTCTCTTCATACCCCATTTGCTTCCACTGAACTCTGGGCTGAGTACCCCCACTTTCCTCCATACTTTGATCCATAACAGCACCGCTTCCCTTAAATTGTTCGAAACTTCCCATGAAGTACAAGAACTAAACAAACCAACAAGCCTCAAAAATCAACTTCGGGTCATAACATAAACTTCCAATAGAAAAACAAAAATTTTACAGTATCCAATTCCATAGATGTCGGATTATGAATTCTCCTTTAATATTGAGAAAAATTAATCAAAATTTTCTGGAAAAAATATAACTCCAAATTCATGTCTAATACTTAACAAGTACACCTAAACGGGAGAAATAACTCATGAAATTATTTTCATTTTATATGAAAATAGAGTTGAAATTAAATCATTGAAAAATCTATACAATAGCAAGGATTTAACATGAAAAAAAAATTGATAGAAAAAGGAAGACTTACAATTACAGAGGATACTCGAGAGGAGCCAGAATCGAAGAAGGGGACTTCACGAATAACGACCGGGATAAATAACCCACGCCTGCTTAAATAAACAAAACGCATCGTTTTGTTGGAACTAAACAGGCCGACGCCGACCCAAATAAACAAAACGCTGCGTTTTGTTGGAAATATGGCCTATATATATATTTTTTTAAGGTTTAAGGAAAAGAGGATTTAAACTTTATTCTTTTAAATAAAAATATTATACATTAACTAATAAATTAAATACTCGAATGTAATTATAAATTTAATTAACTCAACTAAATTCATAAAATAATTTAACAAAGATGACAATCATAGCTCATATTTTCAACTCAAAAAACATATATTTTAGTTCAAGCTTCCTTAACCAGTAAAGAATTCAATAAGTTTTGATATCACTTATTACAATTTACATTTTAATCTAAAAAATATATTTACAGAATGAAAGAAAAACTTTATTTATAAATCTAAAACTTATTCTGTCTTTTATTAATGTGAAATTCATGATATAAGTACTTATATAACAGTAATATAAATTTATATATAATTTTAAGTATTTTTTATATTTATTTACAATTATTTAATATATTTATTGGATGTTAAAAATAATAAATATTTCCTATATTTTTCATAATCTTCATGTAAAAAAATATACTAACATAAATTGGCTGAAATCTATGTGACATTTCTACTCTTGTGCTTGTCTTTTAATTGGAGAGAAGTGCAACAATGCCAACTCCTTCCATCTCAATTTATTTTATATTTATTAATTTTTTTAATTAAACAAAACTTTCAAAATATTATTTTAAATTTTAATACTACATTATATATTTCAAAATAATGATTTAAATTATATTTATTTGATTAAAAATCAACAAAAAAATATAATAGGACAAAGTATATATTATTTTACTCCAATTTTCATTCTAACAAGTTAATTTATGAATAATTTACTCATAAAAAAAGAAATTATGAAGAAGAAAACAATATAATAATAAGACAAAACAGTCACAAATGGAAGCAATCATCCAAGGTATCTATGAGCAAATGATTAGATTGAACTATGCAGCAAAGAAATGATAACATTATTTTAATTAACAAACAAATAATTGCTATTTTTAAATCTTTTTGTTTATCAAAAAGAAAAGAAAAGAGAATGCATAATTTAATGATTAAGACAACTCAATGGAATAGTGAAATCTTTCTTTAAGGCATATTTACAAAAATAAAATGATGGAAGCTAAAGGTCTAGCCATGTGGATTTCACATGGCCACCTCAATATTTGACAATTTCATAAATTATAATAATTTTTTAAATTAATAATAATCCAAGAAATCTACCTATCCTAAAAGTTATATGTTTAGAAATGATAATCGACCTATTGTAATCGTCACTCGATTTGATTAAATTTGATTAAAACAGTTTTATATAATATTAAATAGATACGATTAATTTATGAATAATAAAATTAATATTCAATGTGATTTTTAATAAGATTTAATTTTAAAAATTAAGATACCCATTATTCAAAACTTAATCAAATAAAGTAAAGCGATAAACAATACCCAATAAAACTTATGGTGTTTGAGAGATATTTGACACCGTCACTATTTATAATAATTTTCTAAACTAATCTAATCAATCCTAAAAGTTATATGCTTAGGAATGGTAACAGATCGACTTTATTAAATTTGATTAAAATAATTTTATATAATAATAAATACGAGTAAGTTATGAATACTAAAATTAATACTCAATGTAATTTTAGATAAAATTAAATTTTAAGTATTAAAATACTCGTTATTCGAAATTTAATTAAACAAACCAAAGCAAGAAATAATATCCAATGGAACTTATGATGCTTGAAGAATATTTGACAACTTCAAATCACTAAACACCCATGCCTACCAAACTAGAAAGCAATTTTCCAAACTAATTGTAATCTAACAAACCAACCAAACCCAATACTATATGTTAATATATTAATTTTTCTTTATTATTTCTAATTAAATATTGGAATTTATTTTTCTTTTTACAAGATAAGTATCATGATTTAAATCTATAATCTACTAAAATCTCAACCACCCTTTAAGTTTGAACTATTCTACTACTATCATTATTTGGATAATAACAACATTTTTCATAAATGAATTATCTAACAAGGCTCCACTATTTTTATAAAAATTATACTAATGGTAAATCTATTTAATTAAAAAAAAGGGTAATCCACTTTGTTTTCATTGTTGTCAGTCCCAAAAAAGCTCCATCATCCTGACCCTTGACAAAAGATAAGTGCCACGCGTTTGGATAAAATTCAATCATGGGTTTTGAAAAGACAGAACTCAGGCAGCACTAATCGCAGGTGATTGGAGCCTTTCATACGTGCGAGGTAACCGTAAAAGTAAAACTCCTCCTACCAAGAAGTTCTTGTCACGCGTGTGAGAAGCAGAGAGAAAATATAGGGGCGGAAACCTGAAATTTCCCCGAAAAAGAAAATTAAGTACAAAAATATTAAATAAAAAAAATGAATTAAAAGGTCAAGGAGCGGAGACTCGTATTGCAATTTCTCTCTCTCTCTCTTTTTGTTTTTTCTATTTTATTTATTTATTTTCTCTTCTTTTTCTTTCGAGTCGCATAAAAATCAGAGAGAGAGAGAGAACAGAAGGAGAGAGGGAAAGAAGAGAGGAAGAGGGCGTGAAAAGACCGAATTGACCTTTGCTTTCTTTCGAAATTACCCTTTCTTCTTCTTCTTCGTCGTCGTTGTCGTCGTCGCCGTCTTAGTCTCTCTCTCTGTAATTTTTTTTATTTCATTTATCAAACATGAACGAGAAGGCTAATGTTTCCAAGGAGCTCAATGCGAAACACCGAAAGGTGATCCTAAATTTACCTTTTTGACCTTTTTTTATTCCTAATTCCCATTTTTACCCCATATCAAGGCTTGCTTTGTGTTTTGACTTTGAATTGATTTGATCTGTATTTTTTATATAACTTTGTTGTTGCTTTTCACTTGATTTTTTAATTTGTTGGTTATTTGATTTAAGTTTTTGTTTTTGTTTTAAAGGATAAGATCGAATCGAATGTCGAATAGCAAATATGAGCTGATTTAGGGCTTTTTATTTTTGTATGAATGAATGGTGATTGTGTTAAAATTATTATCGGATTAAGATCTGTTCAGATAGATCAAGTTGGTAAATTTGATTGAGATTAATGTGATTTGCTCAGCTAAAAATTTCATTTCAAATAGCATCATATATTATATTTTGCTATTTTGGGAGATCTAAACTCGGTTTTCCTCAATCAATTTTGTTTCAAATATATTTTCGATTTTGCGGATTGAAGGCTGTGATGTCTACGGTATACTGCTGGTTGTGATTGATTTATTCATTGATGCAAAACTTTTGAAAGGTTAATTTTAGACGTAGGAGCAATTTTACACAATCTTCCTGTGTGGCATCAAGGTGTATGAATTAGGTTGTGGAGGGTGTAAATTCCTCCGTATTCTTTGCTTATGTATATTGTCTCCCTGAATTGTTGGTTCTTGTGTGTGTATGTTAATCTATATAATATGAAGGTCTATATGGTATGACAGACTCATTTAATCAAAGATTTTGGTTTTTGCATATGTCAAATGCTGCCAGTTTTGATGTTTGGCAAATCTTTTATTTTGATTAAAGTTCTTATTGTTTCGCCTCACCCGTATGCAGATTCTTGAAGGTCTTCTTAAATTGCCAGAGAATAGAGAATGTGCTGACTGCAAATCCAAGTATGTAACAAGAAAAATCAAGAGAGATGATGTGGATATCGTAATGGCAAATAACTGAGTACCTAAAATAGAAATTGTCTTAATACATAGATGTTTTTGTGAATTTTGTCACGAATCGGAAGTGATGTCGTTCATTCTTATCATAGATGCTAATAATTGCCTCATTTCTCTGCAGAGGTCCGAGATGGGCAAGTGTGAATTTAGGTATCTTTATATGCATGCAATGTTCTGGGATCCACAGAAGTCTTGGGGTACACATATCAAAGGTGATTTTCTTATCTCTGGAATGAATACTTTGTCTTCCTGAATCAGAAAGCTCATTGAGTTGCTGGCACTGTCTCAACTTCTGTACTTCAACTACGTATACATTTTGCTTTGTCGCTTGGTTTGTCATAAGTGCAGTTAGATTGATGCCCGTTCAATTTTCAATGATAGTGTCTTAAGACTTCAAAGGATTATAAAGGTTAGGGATTTACTGATTGAAGTGATAAGCTGTCTTTTTGCCTCAACAGACTGATTCTAAAGCTCTTTTAGAAATATGGTTATATATTTGGCTCACTTAGGTGTTGGGACTGCTCTTGTTTTGGGCTACCTAAGATTTCATTTTTCTCTTTCCTGCTATGTATATTGGTGATGCTGCAGTCATTTAATTGTCTCCAATTTCAACTGTTATACTAAAAATTTTCATCTGATAGTTCTTGATCGTGTCTTATCCTCTGCAATGTTACCCATTTCAGCCTTATTAACATTTGGTTTTATGATTGAAGACAGTTTAGTTTTTACAAGTGCATTTATGCATCTTAGTGGCTCTTGCTGCAGGTTAGATCTGCTACCCTGGACACATGGCTTCCTGAGCAGGTTGCTTTTATTCAATGTAAGCTTTTTATTAGGTCAAGAATTTGTGTTATTCTGATTGATAGTGGTTTATGTTAAGATGGAGAAGAGCCTACTAAATATGACAATGACTTGCCTTGTTATGCAGCAATGGGAAATGAGAAGGCAAACAGCTACTGGGAAGCTGAGTTACCCCCTAATTACGATAGAGTTGGAATTGAGAACTTCATTCGTGCTAAGTATGTCTCATAGAGTTTTCCGTGATCCACCATTAATTATTTTTTTGTATTCAGTTTTAGTTCAGAGTTTTCTTGTATTATTCTGATGGTTGTTGTATATTCTTATAGATATGAGGAAAAGAGATGGGTTCCTAGAGATGGAAAATCCCAATCACCACCTAGAGGGTGGGATGAAAGGGCTCCTCGTTGGCAGAGACCTATGGAAAAAAGTGGGCATGGGCACATTAGTAATTCTGAGAATTCATTTGAGGAAAGGAGGAACATTCAAGCATCTAGCAGAAAAGAAAGCCTTCCTGCAACAAGAATTAGTCTTCCTGTTCCTCCCAAGGGACCTGAGCAGGTATTAAGTTGCTTTTGCTGGTTATTTGCTTTAGATGTGAATAACCTGAAAGCTATAGCATTAGAATTTAAAAGTATGAGGAAAATGCCATGAGAAAAGAAGGCTTGTCGCTTGCTAAAGTTGCAAAAAAACTGTCAATTAGAACTAAGGTCATGAAGTTGTTTTGTGCATGGTTCAACTTGCTTTCTTGCTTCTCTCAGTATAGTATTTCTTTCCAGTAATTCACCTCTCTTAGTTATTTGTTTTTTAAAAAATTTTCATTTTATAACACAGAATTTGCTGATCAATGTGCAGGTTACACCCATCCAGAAGCCTGAACCAGTTGTTCAGAAAGCAGTACCAGTTGCTGCACCAGGTGAGGCAACAAAGCCAGCTGTAGAGACTGCTTCCACTGTCGCACCCCCTAAAGTCTGTTACGCTACAGACCTGTTCGACATGCTCTCGATGGATGATGGCCCAAGTGAAAATGGGGCAGAGGCGGCTTCTACTGATGATAATAATTGGGCTGGTTTCCAGTGTATGTCTTAAAATTTAACTGTAATTTTTGTTTATTGGGATCATCTTGCATTTTATTTGTATGATCTAGTTAACATGCTTTCTACCAAGTGCCAGCCACTTGGGAATTGAGAGTTATGGTTGTAGCATTTTATTATTGTCATTGATTTTGATGCATATTAATTTGCAGCTGCTGGAGAAACTTCCACAACTAACAAAACCGACCCACCAAAAGCTGCTGAGAGTAATTCCCAGTCAGCTACTGGGATTGAGGATTTGTTTAATGATTCACCTCCATTAACTACCAACCAAGTCCCAGAGAAGCCCCAAAATGATGTGAAAAATGATATTATGAGCCTCTTTGAAAAGGTATGTCTTCCACATTATTTACTTGTGTCTTAGAAACCCTTGATGTAAACATATATTACTCACTCATTTGCTGGTTGGAGCTAATCAGATCATTCCTTACATTGTAACATGCTTCTTGAGAAACATCAGTATGCATTTGTGCATGACCTTTTTTTTGGTGGGTGTTACATGATTGATATCATGGTTTCCATTGATTACAGTCCAATATGGTGTCGCCTTTTGCGATGCATCAACAGCAACTAGCTATGCTAGCACAGCAACAGTCTCTTCTCATGGCTGCTGCTGCTAAATCTGCTCCTGGAAGTACTCAACTGCCTGCACAGCAACTAGCTATGCTAGCACAGCAACAGTCTCTTCTCATGGCTGCTGCAGCTAAATCTGCTCCTGGAAATACTCAACAGCCTGCATCCAACGGCTCAAGCATACCCACTCAAACTTGGCCAAACATCGGCTATCAAATCCCTGGAATGATGATGCCAGTTGCCGGGCAGGCTGATCTGCAGAAACTTATGCAGGTAGACTCCATAGTACAGTTGCAATATTAGCACATTTTAAGAATTATATCTAGCAAGTTTCTCATTTTTGCATTTCTTTTTCCTGCTGCATTAGACTATGACAATGGGACAGACACAACAATTGGGAAACCCTGTTGCATATCCACCATCCAGGTACATATTTGATCTCTTTATTCTTGGTTTTGTTGAAGTTCATTTATGTCTCTGACGATGAATTGTTCCTGTAGTACTGTTTATTTTGCCCTCAGTTTTGGGTTGATTATGCAATACACTTTTATTCTCCAGGTGGTTTTTAATACAATAAAAAGTTTCTAATTCTATTCTGAGAATCCTGTTCCGTGCCGCCGATGTGTTCTCATAAATAACTATCAGATAGATTACAAGTTTTACAGATAAGTTGCTCCCTCCTCCGAAGTCCCAACTTTTTTGCTGTGTCTTTCTTGCAGCTTTTATGCAATGGGGCAAGTTACGCCAACAAACGGTGTAGCGACCAGCGGAGCAACAAGCAAGCCCCAATCGGCTTCCACCGTTTCATCAGTGAATTCTTCACAAGCAGGAAAGGATTATGATTTTTCGTCATTGACACAAGGGATGTTCACAAAACAGTGAGTTTGGCTGGGGCAGGGTGATGATGATTGCTGGCTTTGTCATACTATACCAAAAATAGTTATTTTACAGGGGCAACTTAGAGGTTTGGGAGGGTATTTTCTCCTCTACCAGGTGGGGAGGGGGGATTGTAAACTATTTGTAGATGCAGTTTTCAGTTTTTTTTTTTTAATCCATATTTGGGTGATGACTTCATTTGTATGAGTAGATTTATGCCAAGCATTAATAAAGATGAGTTTAGATTGAATTGGATTAATCATTCCTCAAACATTGCATAATCACGTATTCACTTTAGCCGTCTCTAACTTTTGGCAAATGCATGATGGTGGAATTCAGGCATGGAAATTGGATTAAGATGGACCTTGGGCCCAACCCAATGGTCAGCTGGCTCGATGTGTAGCCCACCAGACTTTGGAGCCCAAAACACAAATGGTCCAACTTGTGTAGTCAATTAGTTATTACATGTGTTAATTGATTTGCAAATGAATCAATTTATATATTTTAGAAACAAGAGTTTAGGGTTTAGTAACATAATTAGTACCATGTCTTATTCATTTTGTCACTATTATTTTTTTAAGAAAATTAAGATATATATTGTCACATTTTTTATGATATAATATTTTAAAATTAATTTTTATATTTTTATTATATTTAATTAAATTTTTATCTTTTTATTTTAAATCAAATAGATTTTCAAAACTAACAGTTAACAAACTATCACTAGTTAGAAGAGGATGAAAAATATCATATAGTCCAGTAGTTATATTTTCATATTACATCATTATTTACTATTACACATCAACATATTACATTAGTTCTTTGTTCCTTTTGACTAATGAATACTATTTTGTTTTTCAAAAAAAAAAAATCAATTAGCACCACTTTACGTAAAATGATAAGTAATATTTTGATTAACAATATATAATCAATTGTTAATTATAAGAATTTATTTAATTTAAAAATAAATGTATAAAAGTTTAATTTAAAATTTTTTAAATAACTTAAGAATTTTTTAAAGATATTATATTTTTTATCTTATTATTTCTCAAAAGCATTTTAAATTTCACAAAAAATCAATTTGGTGGGGGAGAGTTTTTGTTATTATTAATTGAAATAGTGCATGGCACCGGATTCAAAGGATCGCGTCCACTTGAAGGTTCATTCCTCATTTCCCTTTCTTAAAAGGACAAAAAGATGAAAAAAAAAAAAAAAGAAAGAGTAGGAAGCTTCTGGAGGAGTCCCAAATGAAACAAGAGTCCATATCCTGACCAATCACATCCCATGCCTGGTGTTTGGATAGAGATAGATGGCCATGCCCATTCCTGCAAATTGCTGACTTTTCCAAACCCCAAATTAGGCACAGTATCCTTGGACCTGGAGAAACCATTTGCACAAAACTACAAAAGCAGGGGTTGTTCGGAGGGTCTGGACAAACTCAGCACCTAGCTGCTATTGCAGCAGCAGTATAACACTCCGCCCTGCTCATGAACCTGATGCCTGCCATGTGTCGATCACACTATCCTTTGGCGGTGGCGTCAATTGGTAACCGCCATGAAATTGTTTTATCATTTCTGGGTCCCGTGACAATGGAGATCGCTTCACTTCTGCCTTTGGCGCTTTACCAGTCAAACTTGTTCCAGCTCATCACACAAAAGCAAAGTCTTCCATCTCTTGAGCTGCATCTTCACGTGCTGCCTTTGTGGGAAGTTTCTTGCCCATTAGATTTCCCACATTTTGCAATCTATTAGCTAATTTATTATCACATTTTTTTCATGCCAAAACTCAAATTTATAATTTATTTACGCGTAAAAATATAAATTTATAAGATCAGTTCTGAATTTGATTTGATAATAATATTTGATGCATTAACAATATAATTTTTATAAAAATAAAATATGCTAATAATTTTTTAAATAATATCAAAATGTCAAGATTTAGTGACCTCAGTGCAGTAAATACTTTTCCATTGATTTGTTACATAATATATTTTTTTTCCATATGCTTCCAAAAAAAAACACCCTGAAATCACAGTCTAATCAATTGGAAAAGTTTAATAGGGTAATATTTCTTGAAAGGTTCACGCACACCACATATGTACAAAGATGGTGTCCATTTTTCAAGCAAGTTGTTCACCGTCTCACTGTACTCTAGCCCAAGCCTTTGACAACTTCCTCTTGATTTCTTGTCATACTAAAAAAGCTAATTTCGTGTTAGGAAACAACACTTCTTCTTGTTAGGTCAAGGTCAATTGTGTTTTCATCGCATTAACAATAATCACGAAATTAAAATTTTACATAAAGAATGATTAAACAGTAATTATATTATATATACCGAGTTAAATATATAATAATAAAAAAATTAAAAATTAAAGATACTTATTATTACTCGTCACTTTTTTGATTTCGTCAATAATTACATAATATATTAATTTTATATGATGATATATTTATGTGATATTTTCACAATTCACAATATCATACAATATAAAAAAATAAGTAACATTTTTATAAATAAATAATTAATTAACTTACTAATTATATAAAAATTATTCGACCCATCACCACCCACTACCCATTTGATTTCATCGCATAGTACATTGATTTAGTATGATGACATATTCATATGATATTTTTACAATTCACAATATCACATAATATAAAAGAACAAGTAATATTTTTATTAATAGTTAATTAATTAACTTGTTAATTATAAAAAATTATCCAACTTAATATAAAAATATATAAATTTAATTAAATGTAATAAAAATAAAAAAATTATTTAAATTTTTTTGTATATAATTCAGAGACATTTTAAAATATTATACCTATAAATAATTGTGTTACGAGTACGTGACTGTGAGAGTATACGACAATAAAATATGGTAGTAAATGAGTGAATTTGTGTTGTAAACGATGTTGGTATTGATGATCATATGAAAGGGCAAAACAAAATGACAAGCACATGGATACTGTGCATGTCGGTGAAGACGGTGACTAGCCACTCGTCGACTTGGTTACCGTCTTGTACTAAAATAACTGAAAATATTTATTTTATTAAAATAAATATATTTGCACCTTAAAATAATGCCCAAATGGATCTAAAGTTAATTATTTATTTAAATTTATATGTTTATATCTATAAATCTTATATACATGAAATTTATATGCATTGCATTTACAATAAAAATTAGATATATATATATATGTATATTGAGATTATCTTTAAATTTATCCACATACCTTGTCTTATCAGAAGAATTATTTCAATAAACATATATTTATATCAAAATTCTCTTTATTTACATCAAAAAATAAAATAAAATCATTATAGTTCGAATTGTGATTTAAGATAGATATATAATTGTGATTATATGTAACAAAATGTTACCAGCCGAAACATAAGGCTAATTCCATTGTAGCTTTAAGTTTTGAAAATAAAACTTAAATAAGTTCGTAAATCATAGAATTACAGATTTATGTTTTTAATTTAATAAATATACTTTATTAGTGATAAAATACTTATATTTATATATTTGAGATCAATTTCATTTTTTACCATATGAGATCCATGGCACAAACAACTTCCAAATACATAAAATGTGAAAAGAAAAATTATAGTAATTAATTAAAAAGCAAACGGCTTGTCTGTAGTGGTTTGGTCAACTTGTATTATTATTAAGGTCAAGCCATGGTCGGTCAAGGGTTGCACCACCATGCACCGTGGCTGGGAAGCCCACATGGCAGCCGGTAATTCAGGATCCAGAATTAACACACCCCCTTAATGCTGAAAAATTATATATTGTTTATTTGTTTACAACGTAAAAAGAACTTTGTCTTGTTTTCAAGATTCTGATCTTCGGGCAGTTATTTAAATTATAGTTTAAAATGTGCTATTATTTAAATATTTAATAATACATATATATTTTCACTTTTAAAATAATATTGAATAGTACAGTTTAAATTACGATTAAAAATGTATATAATGCAATTAAATATATGATAATGTTGTGAGTTAACTTTGTTGTAGCACACGAAAACTCTAGAAAAATCAAAACATTATCTGTTTTAAAAAGATAAGGATTCGATCCAATTGGCATATTTTGGGATGTGCGAAACCATGCATATTGACCTAAATGGTAATGGAAAAAAGCCGATTTTTAATGTTATTTCGTCGAAATAAAAATGGTAAAATTATAATATTTTTTAAAATTTTATTAAATTTAAAATAGAATTAAAAATTTAACTTAACGGTTATTATTTTTTAAAAAATAATTAAATATTGAGCTCAAACTTTGTATTAAAAATAAATCAAACCAAATACGGTAAAAATACATATATAAAAATAAAATTAAATATATATATATATATATCAACCCAAAATAAAATCAAAGCAAATACGTCAACTATGCACACTACCACGTGGATAGAAAAGCCCATGTCACCGCTTGCCAACGTTTCACCCAGCAAAACTCTCCGATCTCACCTACGTGGAGCAACAGGGGTCCCACATTAACTCCCCAATCCAACGGTCCATATTTCATCATCGAAAACCACCCCAACTCCCCTCTATAAAATACCCTCCAAGCCCAACCACCTTTCAATTTCCTTCGTCTTCGACGTCCGTTCACAGTTTCCTCTGGAGAATTCTTGTTCTGTTCGAGTAATGGCGAATCCAATGCTTTCTCTCAAAACGGCGTTGATATCCACCGGTATCATTTCCGTCGCCATCGTTTTCAAAGTTTCGCTTCCGTTGGTCTCAGAGCTGATAACGTCTGGTATTCCTTCAACTTACAGTTTGGTACTTTCTTTTCTTAGGCCTCCGTATCTTTACCTTCTCATCAACTGCATCATCATCTCCATCGTCGCCTCCTCCAAGCTCCAGCACAAAGCGGAAACTCAACAAAGTCCCTCGCCAGAGATAGTTTTGCCGGCGGTCAAGGTTTCTAGCGAAGTGTATAGTAGTGAGTATAGTTATGGAAGTGATACATCCGCAAGGGTTGTGGTGGCGGAGGAGAGTAAGAGAGCGGTGGTGGTGGACGGTGGTGACGAGGAGGAGCAGGTTAAAGTGGTGATATCACCGCCGGCACCACCGCCTGCGAGGAGTGAGTCTATGGAGCTTGTGATGAGTTTGTTGAATGAGAAAGCGGCGGAGAAGCCGCCGGTTTCGAAGAGGTTTGGTCAGCGGAAAGCTCAGAAAGCGGCTTCGGAAGGTAAACACCCTAATCCTCTATCACATCAGAATTTCAAAATGAAATGCTAACGTGCGTACCTGAAAAGTCAAACTTACCCCTATCTTTCTACCAGATTTCTTTGCCTTTTCTGCTTGATACGGTACGGGTAAAACAGTAAAGTTACTGATGGGTGGTGCTAATTTGCAGGGAAAGCCTTGAGGGTGTCGAAGCCGAAACGGCACGACACGTTGGAGTCGACGTGGAAGACGATAACGGAGGGCCGTCCGATGCCGTTAACACGTCATCTGAAGAAATCCGACACGTGGGAACAACGGGCTCAGAAAGATCCAAATGCCCCTCCCCCTCCTCTCCCCCACACGGTGAAGAAATCCGACACTTTCAACGAGGGCCCCAAGGGAACGTCGCTGACTCGGTCTTCTGGCTCGGGGAAACTCAAGAAAGACCCCTCACTGAGTCAGGACGAGTTGAACCGCCGAGTGGAAGCGTTCATTAAGAAGTTTAACGAGGAAATGAGGTTGCAGAGGCAGGAGTCTTTGAACCAGTATCAGGAGATGATTAGGAGAGGGGCCGAGTAGGAATTTTAGTAAACTCAGAGGGTTACAAGTAAAATTATCTGTTTTTATTTTACTTTTGCCTTTTTTTTTAGAGGGGTAAATAGTTCCCGCTTTGTAAAAAAAGAGCGTTTTTTGTTTTTTTTAGTTTAAAATTATTATTTTCCAATGGAAATGGCATTGCTCTCTTAAAGAGATTTGCCGATTAATATATATCTGAAATTATTTCAAGAATAAATAACAAAATGTAGTATTATTATTGTTTTTTTTACTTAATATTTGAAAAAATTCTTGAATTATATAAAAAAATTTAAATAAATTAAATTTTTTATATTTTTATTTAAAGTTAAATAAGTCTTTATAATGATTGTAGGTGATTCAATTATTAATAGTTAAAATACTATTATTATTTTTATATTATATGATATTATAATAGATAACTATATAATGTATAAATGTGATAATATAATATAATATAATTATATAATATTTTATTTAAATATTTTTATATTATGTTAATATTATATGAATATAAAATAATAAATGAAGTTTAATTAATGATGGTTATTTAAAATTTATATGATTCAAAATAAAATATAATAGAAAAATAAAAATTTTATAATATTTCATTCTATTGTTTTGGTGTTGTGTTGCCTTTCATATTATTTCAAAATGTTGGACCGTAAATATAATGATTTTCATAATCCCAAATTAATTTCTGAAAACAGGAATACATGGCCTCGTCTTCCAGCTTGTATCTGAAAAGCTGTGAGGGAAGGCGGCACTGCTGCACTATTGTCGATTGTGCACCGAAAGGAAAAAGGATAAGAGAAGAGAAGGTAAAATGTGGTTAAGCTGATATGGTTTTTTTTTATCATATCTCTCCTTTCTTTCTTTCTTTTCCCTTCATTGCTTTTAGGCTTATATAACTTGTTTAAAACGATTTCTTAACCTATTTGGAAAACACTATTTTCAGCCATTACTTAATTAAATGGCGGAAAAATCAATTTATATCTAGTCATTTTGAATTCGAATTGTTTCGATTTAATTCATTTCAAGTTTTTTTCGAATTCGAATTCTTTTCGAGTTCAGGTTCTGATTAATTTTGCCACCTCACTAGGATTAACTAGTCTATAACTACAAAGTCTTGGCTAAGCCCTTCAAATGTACCCTTCTATACTTGTCAATGTTAATCCAAAAAGAGCGAAGTCATGAAATCGTCAACTATCTAGGAGGATCCCAAAAGGCTGGAATAATTTTAAGCTATAGAATTAACTCCTTTCCCATTATTATTTATGGAATTGAGAGCAGAGCAAATATATACCTCAAAAGTCTAGCCTTTTGGTATGGTCCCCTGTCAGAAAGGGAACCGCCTGCATGTCTTAATGGTTTATGTTCACCGATGTTATCTTCCTGAATAACTTGGGAGTAAGCTTCAGCAATCTTCTTATCTGATCAGTTGCCCTCATGCCAATAAATGATTGTCCATTTGTCAATGGATTACTTGTGAGTTTGGATGAACCTGGCTGACAAAATCTCAGCAGATCGATCACATTAATTTTCATTGACATTTAAATATGATCAGCAAGCAGTAATGTAGATTAATATGAAACAACTGTCATAATACCCCATCTCGGATGTGAATGTGATCATAGATTTATGCTAAAGAACATGTACAAGAGGTAAAAGAATAGGAAATGCAAACACTTTCTAGCATTTATTTTTGTATTTGTCTATGCTTGTTGTGTTACAGTTTGTTCAGAGTATATCTATCACAAGGGAATAAACCTTTTACATTGCCATGTTGGCTGGGAAAAGCCTATCCAGAAAAGTATAGACACCTCCACCCAGTAGAAGTGCACCGCTGCCAAAGAAATCAGAGTTAATCCATGTGTGAGAGACATGTACGGTTAGCGAATACTACGAATCTACAGGCAATTACACTGAGGAAATAAGAGGCAGATGCTGACTTCGACAGGGATGCATATGAGAGAGCTTTTGCTCTAACAGAGCAAACAACATGAGCTATGATATAAGGTTCACCGGAAATTAAATGAAAGAAGGAATACTTAACAAAGATGATGACTGTTGCACACTAGAGAAACCAAAAGAATGCGGAAACATTTTTGAGAGTACCTCACTGGGTTGATCCATGCTGAGAACTTCCTGAAGGATAGCAGACTCTGCCAGTACATATATAATGATTAGTTGAATTTCTGGTTAATAACAATTTAAGGAAGTACATTAGCCATTAAAGATGGAGTGAGGTGGCAGAAATTAGTTATGACAATGATTTTATGTAGTTCTGGCAACGTATGTATGCCCTCCATTAACAAAATCGACATATATGCATACCTGCAATGCTCCGGCAAAAGAAGCAGCAAGAAGTAGGGGAGCAACATAGCCAGTTGTGTATGTCAAGAGTAAGCTGCCTCCAATTATTGGATCCTGTTGTTATACAGTAGTAACACATTATTTAGTATTGCCCTAGCTGTACTGAGTACATATACATATCAGGTTTATGCCAAATAAAGACAGATTTCTTTCTTCTATAGATGTAAAAGTGAAATCACTTTAAAAGCTGCATAGTCTCTATCTTTTATGCAGTTTACCTTGGATGTGGCTACGTATCCCAGCAACGTGGCCAGCACTGGTGTGCTGCAAGGTGAGGCAGCTAATGCAAATGTAAGCCCAGCTAAATATGCTTGCACACCTAAACATAAAAAATTTCAAAATTACACCTTAAAAATGTTTGTTAGAGATTCATTCAGATAATTAACTTTTGTTAGGTAGCGGAAAATAATTGAGTTAATTACTCGATGGGAAATTGGCGGCTGCAGCACGAGGGTCAAAATTGTTAAAGAAAGAGGGAAGTTGTAATTCAATGACCTGCAATGGTAGTTCACAGCAAAAGAAGAATACCTATATCAGAAGTATCTTGAGTACAACAAACTCTGATACATAATTTAATAACACCCTGCCAATCTGTTAACAGTTCTACATTAAAATTGAAGCCATCATAAAGTTGCACACTTGTAGTTCTGACCACGATCACTTAACTTGTAGCATCCCACTCCAACCCCCCCCCACCGCCCTCTCAAGAAATAGATGCCACCAATCCTAAGTAAGAACTGGTGATTAACCGATTTTGTCAGAGGCAGGTTCTCCAAAAGATTAAAAAGAAAAGAAAAACCTGAAATCTCCCTTCTATAAGTCTTTTCTCTTTTGGTAGAAGATTAAAAATAAATCAATAAATTGTAAGAATTCCTTCCACATAAACTAGAGAAACCACGTGATTGATGACAAATGTAAATATTTTCCATGTAACATTTAACCCCAAAAAAAATGCATAAATGAAACAATAACAGTAGAAGCTTGATTGAATACCTCAAGTAGATTGAGACCCATAATAACAGCCAAACCAGAAGCCGCCAATGGCAACCCCTGCCCTATTTGTCCATATGCCTTCCCAGCAAAGGAGGCTCCAATGCCCAGGAGTGCTAGTGTAGTCGCTAATCCTAATGAGAAAGCCAGAGAGTTCACAACAATCTGACCAAAAAAGAACCTCAAAGTTATGTGAGAAAAAACTCTTTCTTCACTCCCATCCTTGTATTTGTGTGTCTCATGCATGAAAGATAAGGAGAGGGAGGACCCATATATATTTCAATTAAATTTAGGCAAATAGACATAATAGATGGTACACATGCTATACTAACAACTAAGAGACAAGTTCAGAAGATGCAAATGCTTTGCTAGAGTAAGAAACTTCTGAAAATGAGAGGTAAAAAAGAATACAGAACAGGCCGCATCAGCATTGCTGCGGACTCAACCTGAACTAAGATATGTAACTTTTGGCCTTTAGGTCATCCACAAGCCAAAAGGTTCAATAGAAAAATCTTATAGAAGCAGTAAACAAGATGTATCGCATTGCAAGCTATTACCTCAGTTCTGCCCTTGCCAGAGCCAAATGCACCTGGAAAGGTTCCAATCAGTCAAAAAATCAACATCAAAGATGATAGGACAAGCAAGAAAGTAACAGCACCATTTTAAAAGATCCATTGAGCTTTAGGCAAAGTAATGCTAACTACTTACCAATATAACCAAGCGTCAATGGCAGAACACTTAGTGTACATGGAGAAAGGCTTGTTACAAGACCAGCCCCAAAAATAACAGCCAAACTGCCCAAATAAAAAAGACATAACATAATACTGACTGTCAACCTCAAAAAATAGCAAAGCATTTAGAGGGGAAAAAGCACAGAAAAGAACCTAGTGAAACTAAGAGCTGATAATTGGCCCTGAACAGCTTCATTAGCCTGCTGGCCAGCTGAATATAGTAGGCCTCCAAACCAATCTCCAGGACTTCCATCAGCCAACGTATAAAGAGAAGCTACTCCTTCCTGCCTTGAAGGAAAATAAATACTATTTCCTAAGATTATCCCACGAATATATAACTAGGAATACATACTTAAGATCAGATGCCATGCTAATGAATACCCAATTAAACCCATAGAAGACACTAGATCAATCAAAATTGAACTCACCAAGATTTTATCTTCACTTAAAGCCATTGCAGAGTCAATTGCAAGCAAATTTGCCACTAAAAAAACAACAGAAATTAAAAATTAAAATATGCAAAAAAAAAATATCATCACTCATAAAGTAACTCACAGATTAACAAATAATCAGTACAAATCACTGTCATAAAATAAAATTAAGAAAAAAAATTCCTTTAATTGAAAAAGAATCGTTAATAAAGAAGGACAGTGATTACCTGCTATAGTATTTATAATAGAAGGAACTTTCAAAGATTCAAAATCTTTGCAAAGATCCTTATTTCCGGTTGCCTTATTGATGGCCATCGTATATCTACCTGAAAAAAAAATGTAAAATAAAATAGATTTTAGAGCTTAAAACTCGTTAATCATAGCAAATTAAGCTCCTAATCGATATTAAGCTTACCATAGCTGGTTCTCGGGCGATTTCTAAGGCTTGAGATTTTGGAGAAACAAGAGAAGGAAGAAGAGGCGATGTGGTTTAGAACCAAAGACATCTTAAACAAAACAGACTCTGTTTGGCTGCTGAGAAAGATTTTGAATTTGACTGAGTTTTTTTTTTTAACTCGGGAACCAAACAGAGAAAGAGGGAGATATTTTTTGCTTTACACTGACTTTTGTCTTTTTAACGGTATTTCGAGTTTGAACTCAACAGTGATGTTAACGGTTAATTGATTGCAGTTGGATTGCTGTGCTGGGCTTTATATGGGCCGTATTGGGCTGAACAGAATGCTTATTGGGCTAATATAACATTGATAATTAAAAGAAAAATTTAGAATAAAAAAATAAAAAAATAAATAGTACTAATAATATAAAATTTATGAGATTTATGAGACACGAGAGAGAGAGCTACCTCCCATTGCAACCGGACATTTAAAATATATTGCTTTTAACTCACAGAAATTAATCTATCTGTGAAATTATATAAAATTTAAATAGTAATAATAATATAAATTTTAAAAAAGCAATAAATTTCCAAATTAAAAATAGATATTTCTTAGGTATGTAGCGTAGAGTAACACCTTGTTTTCCTAATATTCTGAACGACTAATATTCCCAAAACAATCGAACAAAGGTGGGATTGTTCTCATCTTGTTCCTCCATGGGCAAGCTTTTTCCTCTTGTTACTTGGTAGCTCCTGCAGCCATAGCCCATAGCCACTTCATTTGGTACAATGGAAGCAAGTAGTGTGTTTTACCATTGTCACTGATATATCTACATGAGAACGAGAAAACCATCATTAGCAAATTAGACACATGACGATTTCACAAGAGATTAAAAAGGAGAAAGAATGTTTACTTTAGTAAGTAACTGTTGCATTTGGGTAAGGAAATAAGGCTGGTTTCAGGATAGGAGATATATCAGATCCCTGAGAAGGAAATCTTTGCTTCATATTAGCCTAGTATCAGTTGAGTTTCAGGAGTAGGGAATAAGCAGAGTTGAGCTACTGACATGTAACACAGGCTGAAACACAGCTTTTCAGCACCCCACCCCCCCCACAAACGGGTTTTTCTTTGGCAACAACTCTCCACAAAGGCTTAGAAGTTTTCATTATAACCTGTTTCCGTGAACCCAACTCTCTAGTAGGAGTCCAACTCTGACTACGGATTTGTTCTGGTTGCACAGGGATTTATCCTGATACATTACTCACTACCTCATGCTTCTTCTTGTTAAGACAAGTGCATGAGCCGGCAGCGTTCACTTGATTGCTGTTAGACTGTGTGGTTCAACTCTATGAATCGAAAGAAACTAGCAATCGGATCAAATGCAATGATGCTCGAGTTATATTCTTTATTTGAGTAGAACACTAGTGAGAAGAAGGAAAAAAATTGTGCATCTGACCTGAATATCAGGATTTTCCCAGTCAGGAGGGAAGCTATTGCATGACCTGGTCACTGAAGTAGTCAACTTTGCACAAGTGGTTTTCCCCCTACCATGCCAGAAATTGAGCAAAAATAACATATCAGGCCACTATCTTAAAATCAGCCTTCATCCTCTGAAACCAATATTTCAGCACTTCACAATATAGATCATCCTCAATTACTACAAACAGAATAAAAGGAACTGATATTAAGTATCACTTCAAAGACTATGGTACTTAAACCATATTTGTGAGAACATTGGTAGAAGAAGAGACATCGGCCAGAGATGAGGCATTTGTATAAACTGCAGCACATATTTATTTTGCGATGTCATCTTTAAGAAAATTGAAAAGAAACATACAAAAGAAACAACTCAGTTTTCAGGCCATATATGAAATGCAGTACGGCAAGGAATCGGACATGTAATCTAACCTGACAACTGTTAACCAGCGGGGCAGCTTACTTCTTATGTCTAAGTGGAGCCACGTATGCATGCTGACATGCCAAGCATAATCCTCATTTGTCCACATTAAGAAGAGATCAGGCATTATTCAGATGTCCTTGAACCTACTCTGACACCAACGTAACTGCCATACAAGAATCCACATTAAATGAACAAATGCCACATTGGTCTGTTCATGACAAAGCTATATGTAAATTTATACTTATACATATGTAAACTTTGTTTTGTTCTGTATGGCTTTGTGCTTTTTCCTAATTATACGGTTCCCGCTATAGGGTGATAGGCACATGAAAAGTGGTAGCAAATAGAACATCATAGTTTTCTGAATAGTTTCCATATAACAAATTGCGTGTTTATACATGTAAAAGCATATGTATAGCAAAAAGCTCCTGCTGCTAAATAACTGATTAGTATAGAAAAGATCCCATTAATAGAATAAAAATGGAAAATTAATCTGTCTTGCCAAATTTCCATTTATAATATCAGAGATATATAGACTGGCTAGACAGATTGACAGTCAGCAATGTTTTCTAGCAAGATATATATTCATTAATGCAGTGTGAAGTTCATTACTAAATATAGCTTACCATATTAATTGCAGAATAGATTCCTGAGTTGTGACATTTAAGGATAATGACAAACCTTGTTCGCATTACTAAATTTACATTACAAACCAACTCAACCACAGAATGTCCAGCTAATGACTTTGAAGGAAGACATCCTGTATTAAGATCATTCACAAGTAACAAATCTGTGTGAAAAGGTGAGTGACTGTCGGCCATCTCAATCTCCTGTGATTGCCAACAATGAATATTTCCATCATCATGATGATAAAATTAAAGCCTATTGTCTTCTCATCATTCACACCAATCACTTGCAACTTCCTTGTCATGAACTTGCATATTTGTGGCAGGAAGTAGACACGCATTGAACATGACTTGCACTTCTTCTTTTATAAGATCATTTATTGTTGTTCCTAATATATATTGACAAAATCTTCATCTTTCTATAATGCATTTGAAGGAAACTAAACCTAGAAGGAAGGTTGAAAGGAAATTCAGAGTCAGGACACAAAGGAAACCAGTGGAACAATTCCGGCAATCAAGAATTCTTTGTTATGTTCTTTTAATTGTCCAAATACTCATGAAACATTGATGTGATTTCCAACTTGTTTCAGCTTAAAAGATAACACAAGAATTCCTTTCTGTATGGATAAGACTTGCAAAAACCTTCACTTCTTCTCTTCCCATAAGACAAAACAATTCATGTTGCTTTTTTACAGAAAATTTTAGTATAAAAATTTCTATATGATTGCCCCCCATCATTTAAAAATCTGCAATGGCATCCTTACTTTAAAACTACAAATGAAGCCATTCTAGGCTTTGAGGCCTTCTCTGAAAATCTTAAGTCACACTCAACTTAGTGAAGTCTCATATTTGTCATACTTTATCAGTGATTCTTGTGGCCCTTAACTAGTCTGCATTGATCCTGCTTTCTTTGCATTTAACTGCCTACAGACTAAAATTATATAGTGAAAGTGTTTGCAATCCAAATGTTGTAGTTATACCTTTTTACCGGTACTTCCGATGAATTTTTATGCTTAAGATTAAAGTTTATGCTGGACCAAGATTAAACATAAGCTATCATTTCCTTTCCAAGCAATGAGCATCTTCTTCCAAAAACATATTGTTTGAACATGTTCTAGGATTAGGCTATTTGCAAGCTCAGTACTGACTTTGTTTTCTTTTATTTAAAAGTTTTCAAAACTAGGGATTATAAAATATACTGTTGTTTCTTTTCACAAACATATAAGATGAGAAAACCACATATTCTTGTAGGTTCTACCAACAAACATCAACCTTTAAATTGTTTTGAAACAATCCTAGGATACTGCAAATTTAGCATAGCAAGTTTCTTGCATTAATAGTCATTTTGAGGGTTTGACTCATAACGGAATAAAGATAATTAGAAGTATTCCAGCCACAAAGAAACAGACTTCCTTGACTTATCAACATACTAGTTCGCTGCCTGATGACAGCATGTGCAAAAAGAACTTCAACACCTTCCACGAAAACCACAAGATTCACACTGGTCTTTGAAGGGTAAAGTCGTTTTCAAACATCAAGCTGAGCTCTGGAAAAGAAAGTGTGAGATTTTAGGATGGTGAAACAAATTTTTAAGGACAAACATAAAATCCATAAACACATCATATATCAAGATTATAATCTTCATAGACCATCTGCTGAGAGACTACTGTTCCCTGCCCATGTTGGAAATGGTTCTATGTACTATGATGAAAGAGCTTTATCAGCGCAACATTATCCACATCAAATTGTACTCAAAAGATTGGGACAAAAAAGATTACCCAGGGTTCAATATTTTTGAGGTAATTAGAATAAGCACTTTAAAGGTTCATGTTAGGATGAGCTTGAAGAGCATATTCATGATAGATAATTTGGGGAAAAAAGGGGGACAATAAATAAAGGCAGTAGGCAACCATTATTGCATGGTGACAGGGGAACTATTATCTGTCCTAGCAAATGCAAGTTACATATATTGCTATTTGGACTATATCCGGCTTCCTTGCTCCCTAGTATATGTACAACATCATAACATGACAGGCATTTCCAGTCACTGGCCACTCACTGTCACAAGTCAAAACCATAGAAGGACTCTCTGTCATGTCTAACTGCATTTCAGGAATTGTCATTATTTTTGGAGTATTAATGTCATAATTAAGGGCCTACAGTAAAGCCAATGCTAAAGATATGCTTGATGGATTCCTTCTGATTGAAGCTGCCAACATTTAACAAATGATTTATGCTATCCAATATGGAAACAGGAGTTACAGATATAATTGTTGTTACTATTCCTATATTGCCATTAGCATCATCACTATCACCATCATAGTCATTGTTATTTGCAGCTTTGCCCTAGCATATAGCTGATCTTTTAATGCAATGCATCAGCCATCGACATATTAGAGACTTCAAGCAGATTTTTCATGCAGCACTTAATTGAGAATAAATGGACACCAGCAAATGTTGCACTTATCTGGCATCATAATTTCACATACACTAAAAAGATGAGTTAAGTAGCACGCCATACCTCTAATCTGATTTTCCAGCCTGAACCTTTTTTAGCCCCATAAACAATTTTCCATCTTCTTCTCTTTTATAAAATGTAACTGAAAATTCATCATCTCAGTCAGTACTAAGTTATAACTCGTCTGCCAGTGCAAAATAAAATGGTAATTCACAAGTGAAACAAAATAAATCTTAAAACGTTTCAAAATGTTTCTTTGGTTAGACATAATAAATTATAGCTTGATGGAGTATGTTTGAAGTGCATGAAGAACCTCAACTGTCATCAGTAAATTTAGCACATAATTTTCCTACACAACTCTGATGAAATTGAAGTATCTGAAAAGTCAATCATTTAGCAAGCACAACTAAGCTCAAATTTACTAATTGATGGTGACCAAATAGTAAGATAGAATAGAGAATAAGAACTACAAATATATGGTTCAAATGCCAGCTCCACCAAAAAATAAATAAATAAATAAACAACTTAACTTATCAAAAAGGGAAAACGTGTATAGGTTATGCATCATTAGATACTTATGTTATGTCAGCAATTACCTGTATCACCTGGTTGCCACTGCTCCGAGATTATGTAATCTTTAAGCCCCTCAAGCACATACATCTTTCCATTAGTATTTGACCAGTAACGGTAGTAGAATTCCCAGTCATCTCCTTTTATGTCTTGCACTACAACAAAGATTCCTTGTTGTGCCGAAATATCGGGGAAATAAGCCTGTGATATTGTCTCTTTTAATACAAGAAACATTTCTATTTTTTACCAGGAAAAAATTAAGTGCAGAATGAAAATGCTGTAGCTAATCTCATATCTTCACATTGAAGGAAACTAATGAGGAAATTTGCACTGCCCATTCTCCTCCCCCCTTTAAAAGCAAGTAGTGTTCGATAAAAATCCATCGTCATTTGATGGACATCTTATGCTGTAGCTGGATGATAAACAGAGAAAAGAGGCAGAAGAATATCTCCCCGCAAGGTACATAAAAATAGATAAGATGTTACCGCAGGGCTAACAGCCTCCAGTGCAGAGATTGATTTGGAAAGTTCAATGTTTTACCATATAAAGGCCAGTATATATTGCAGATAATATGACTCAATAGTTAAGTGTAAGTTATGCACAGAAAACAATAAAAATCAATAGAATATTAAATTGCAGTAAATGCAAATGCTGCAGTAAAAAAATTTTCAATCACAATCAGTTTCATTATCTTCTTACTGGACAGTAAGAAGTCCAAACACCTCTCATGCCTCTTTGAGACTCACCCCGACTGTAGAACAATCTCGATCAAGAACCTTAAGTAACCTTTCAATGCATGCCAACTTAAGAACTTCAAAAAATTTCAAATCTGCAAACACTCACCTCTGCACATCTTTTCGGTAACACAAGGCGCCCATTCCTGGCTTCAGCATCACTAGCAGTCAATGTTTTCGAAAACAAAGGAACAAGGCTTGATTGTGACCTGAAACATAATTAAGGACTCACAATTTCTAATCTAAGACATCAAGTTCAATATTAACCAGGAAATTTCATTAAGTTATATCCAGCTGTATCAAGCTAAAATATAAAAGTAACATACTAAATAAATGTATACTAGTTCTAATATCATATGATAAGACAACCAGATAATTCTTCAAAGGATACACTCTGCAGATTTCCTTTAGCTCCTCCAAGCTGGTCTGCGGTGAGTATCTAGATTGTACCCTAGTTTTTCTGTAGACATCCTTTCGATGTTTTCCTCCCTTCTTTTGACAAGAATTATTGGTTCCATCAGGTGAATTCACAGAGGACTCTTCTCCAGTTTCTGATAAAGGAAATTGCGCTTGAAATGCTGCTCCGGGAATAGTTGGAGTGGCTATCTTCTTAGGTAAGACATTGCATACTACAGAATTAGGTGATGCAATTGGATCAATTCCTGATTTAATTCCTGCAACATGAATGCAGGAGTCACTTTTCATACCTACTGGAAAAACATGATAAATGACAATTTATTGCTGCGATTGTTGAAGGAGAGGACTAAGATAAAACAACTTATGCAACTTTATATGCATTCCTTGTGTGTTTGCGGATGACAAGAATATCTAAATACTCTTCCTATCCAGAAACATTTCCCACAATCAGTTTAACTTTAACTTTAGGACTGATTAAGCACATCATTTTAGCCTAAATTATGACTTAACTTGCATAAACAAAGAGGGAAAAAAAACCAAACAAACAAACTTGAGCAGATCTAAGACCCAGAAATTTTACAACTTCATTTGACACTGCTCCTTAAGAAAAAAGCTACGCCCACCCCCACACCAAAATGAAAACCAATAGTAAAACATTTTTTCCTTTATGTTATTGATGTCCTTATTTCTTCTCTGCCCTTCTCTTTTATTTTGTAGTTCAGTTCGCTATGCATAATGGTCGAGTGTTAAAAATCCTTTCCTCTCCTATGAGAAATTATAAACAATCAGCATATCAGACTTCATATTTGCAAGCAGACCAGTCCATGCACATCTTGAACAAACAAGAGCACTTAAAAACCTAGAGATCAACGACATTTTTTTTTCAATTTCAGTTCATTCCAAAGCTAAGGTGTACAGACAGTCACCTGTTATTGCTTTCTCATGGTCAATATATAGCCTTTTAGCAGAGTCCATTGCATGCTGAATAGCCTGAGGGCTCCAGAAGCTTGGTGAGCATCTGTGTGGTGCCTGAAATCGAAAATATTAATTTAAAATGTGATAACTTTAACATTTTTAGATTAAGGAGGAATAAGCAGAACTCAGAACTCGTAGAAACATGCCCAATATATACTCGTTTAAAGTTTGACTTTAATATTTTTAGATTAAGGAGGAATAAGCAGAACTCAGAACTTGTAGAAACATTCCCAATATATACTCGTTTAAAGTTTGAAGCCATAGGTCATTCATCAATCAGATTCAAAGGATGATGGCATTGTAGACTAATTTATTGGGTTTTTATGGACAATAGAGTTGCAACTACTCGATTAAGTTTGTGATTATGCATCCAATGCTGCTCCATTATATGCGTATTATATATTTATCAATAAGAAAACACATATAAAATGGCTAAACAACATATATATTAATTTTCACAGGAATGTCTGGAGGACTATCTAAGTTACAAAAACAAAAAAAAAAAAAAGATGCAGGTTTGATAGTTGACTCCTACCAAAGCTTCATTCACGGCACACTCTGTACATTTCACACCACCAAAGTCCAGTATTGTATATGTACTGGATGCCATAATGCACCCACAATGAATCCGCTGCAGCAATGGGAGAAAAATTAAGCATCGTACATGCAATTTGTAGACTAAATTCAAAGGATAAATAACCTGGAGATATATCATCTGGAACGACCTGCATAACAGGGAAAGGAAAATGGAAGATAAACAAGAGTTTTCATCTTACCTTCCTACATGAAGCACAATCTCTCCAACCAGTGGCTTCAGGGTGAAAAGTATCACAGAATGTTCCCTTCGAATAAGCAGAACTGAATTTGCAAAAAGACCAAGTCAGTTGTTTATGATGCATTATGGAGGGTAAATAAACTTCAAATCTTTTTCAAGCTTCGTGATATTACCTTCTGAGGTACACAAATGATGCTAGCATAAGAAGATTTAATACTGAATACCAAGTACTGTTATCAACTGAAACCTAGGCACTATATACAAACTTCTACGGACCACATGGATGCAAGCACCAAAATTGAACATAGAATTCATGATGTCAATAACATAGTCTAAACACATGTTTTCATAATCCAAAACATGAACACGTACAAGTAAATCAATATACTTCAAGAAACAAACTGCCATCCAAAAATGAAAAGCAGCATTGAAGTAAAAGGTGTCCACAAAATCTTGAGTAAACATCAACAATTTGTGCCGAAAAATCGATAAGCTATTGCAAATTAAAAAAATACATTATGTTTCACCCTAAAAAATTTTAGTTAACATTGATATGTTTGTTATTTTCATAAATGATGTGTATTTAGTTTTCACTATTAAATGTCGGTGCATGTGCACACACACACGCTCTCTCCAATAGAGAGAGAGAAAGGGAAAGTAGAATAAGAAAGAAAGAGTCTTTTTTGAAAAAGTAAGGGAAACGGATCAACTTACTGCCATAACTTCCAAAGCAAGAAAGTGTAGGCAGTGCTACTAAAAGCAGAACAAAAACCATGTCGTTTCATTATTTGAAGCCAAAGCAATTGCATCTCTCTACTAACTATAACTGTAACCAGAATTGAAGTTTGACAATGCACCAAAAGATGTCAGAAAGCACGCAGAAAACGACTTTTGCTGGCTTTTTCTGGTAAGATAAAATTTAACCAACTATTGATGTACAACTCATCATTTATAGCGAACAGACCATACTTCTGAAACAATTTCTATAAATGTTTTAGTCCATCTTATTGGTAAATTGCATATGTAACACGGTGCCAAAAGAAATTTTGCATTCAGATTGCTAACATCTGTACTCAAGCAATAGCTGTTTAAAGACATCGAACACAGAAATTAAATCTATAGATCATATTTCCTTCTTGAAACTTATGAACCATACAATATCCATCTCTCCCACACTTTTTCCTCTAAGCTAAAGCATAATAATATTGACTTAAGAAGGAAAAGTTGAACATCAAAGGCCCAACACTTTGAAGGTGTTCTTCCTCTTCCATCAACAACCAATTCCATTTCTCCAATCAAACCAAACTTTTGATTCCTTATGATGGATATATGAATTATTACAAGAAAGAGAATAGAGATGCAACAAAAAGCTCCCATCTCTAATTATGCAAATAAGCATCCGACTTACTTATTTTAAATCACAGAGAGCTAAAATTATACTCATAAAAAGCACATTTTCTCCGATCATATCAATTCTTATAAGGCTAACTTCTTTAGACACTGCTCGAGCAACCATTCTCATCAACAATGGTGCCACCATAATGACGTCACGTAGATATAACTTTATAGAGAAATGCAATATCTGTTGAATGCCCAAAAATAGAAAGAACTAACCTGACATAAATTTGGATTTAACGGCTGATCTCTTTCATTGGAACTGACAAAAAGGTTCTCTAGATTCTAACTTCCTCTTTAAATACGACAAACGAATCATGATGACATCTCAAAGTATTTACTTTCTCATGTTTTGACCGTTACCAATTAGCCTCTAAGGTTAAACTAAACATAAATGAACTATTTCCTGTTTTCATGACATCCTCTATTGTTTTATCATTTCTATAAACACTAACTCAATGCCAAAATTTGAAAAGCCGTTTTAAATCAAAACTAAATTCTACAGTGTTAACACCATAAAAGAATGCATCTCTGATTGTTATACGGCAAACTGTTATCTGTTTATCTGAAAAGGAAAGTGCTCAAAAAACAAAAGCATTCCATTAGCAATTCAATTTATAAAAACCAATTTTCCGTTATCTTTACTAACAATTACGATTTAATTTTCATGTGAATTGATGATTACCATTCATAATCATCTTCACAAAACTTGTTTTTGTTTCCATTCCATGTTTAAATTATCCAGGCACTGACAAGACACATCTCAAGAGGAAAGCTAACAATCATTTCCTGCCTTCTTGAAATGCTTGTCACAAACCAACTGTTCAGTTTACAAATTTCACAAATAAATAAAAATGTAAATGAAATAGAGAGAAATTACTCCATCAAAAGGAAAGAGAAGTGCATCAATGAAAGTTGTCAGCAAAGATAACTTAGCACAACAAAGGAATTGGATGGATGGGTTACTTAGCACGAAGATAACAGAAACAATGGAAATAAAATGAGAGCTTACTCTAATTCTTTTGCGATAACCTATTTACAACTCATTCTAAAATCTCCGTTCCTGTCTTTGGTAAGTGAAACTCCAACTCTTCTATGCTGCCAGTTTGACAAGAAGCGAAAGGAAGAATATGAAGACCAAGTACAGCCGCAATCACCAGAATTTCTTGCCCATTCTTCTTCAGCTTGCAGTTCAAACGTGAACGCAAAAAATAAAGGGAAAAAAAAGGGTGGAATTGACAGATGGAGGGTAATAATCATTGCAAAGAACAGTGAAGTTGATATTAAAAAGCCCCAGAAAACCAGAATTACACTTGTTGACCCCATACAGAGAACTAAAACATGGCAAAAATTCTCTTGTGACTAGAATTTAGATTAACAACAACAAGAACAGGAGAACACATCACAGAAAGGATAGCATATCTGAGGGATTAAAATTGACCCCAACCGTCAATACAAAAACGAAGTCGGTTGACGAAATTGTTAACTTCCCAAAATGTAGAGCAATCTAAAACGGTTTCATTGTACAACCCAGGGGGAGAAGTCCTATGCATCAATTCCTTGAAAACCATACTTCAGCTCCAAGAAATCCATTGCAGACAATAATTTATACCATTATGCCACAAATCCTAATTTATTTTATTCAGATAAACCAGTAGTTAACCCAGCCAATATCAAGAACTCCAACAAATCCAAAAACAAGATTAACATAAACATAAACATCGAATTAAAGCCAACAAATCAACATGAAAAATTTGTAACTTCTATCGTCCCAAAATAATCATTGAGCTTCGTTTTTATCCTAATCAAGTGAAAAATGCGACAATTTTATCTTTTGCAGATTGCCCCCTTATCTGCTAACACAACAATTTTAACTTTCTCACACAGTGACAGTATCCTAGCTCCTAAACTTTTACTCTTAGGAACAAACATGGCAAAATGAACAGCAAAAAATCATCTATCTTACTCTATAGTCAAAAAGCGTTCAAATTCCCTATCTTATACTTAAAAAAATTAATTAAAAAAAAAACCCAAACTATAACTCGGGAGGTTGGTTCGAAATCTGCGACAACATAAACCATGAAATCGAATTAATCTATTAAACAATGAAAATAATGATCAAAGAACCCAACTTTATCTAACCCAACAAAGAAAACAACACGCACATTCAGAGAAGATAATAAAAAAAGGGAAAAAAAGAAGAAAAAACAACATGCATTGGAAGAAACGAAATGAAAACAGGAAAAAAAGAAAGCGTAAAAAAGCTTACCCACAGCTATAGCAAAGCATGGCGAAACCACCATTACGAAGCTGCCAGCCTATGAAGAAGTTAACAGAGGGAGCTTTGCAGTGAAAGCAAAGCTTGGTAAATGCTGAAGACGAAGAAGCCATTCTCTCTCTCTCTCTCTCTCTCTCTCTCGATAACCACCCCACAGACCAAACAAGCTTCGGTTTCTTTACTGTCTTTGGTTTTGAAATGATATGACACTGCAAAGAGTGAGGAAATAAAAGTACACAGAAAAGGACAGTTTCTTTTAAGATTGGAAACTTTTGTCAGGTTCTTTACGCACACTGACACCGAGATTGATACGCTCCGCATTAGCTATTGTGTACCTCTTCCTATCCTTCTCTGGAAGCCTTCGAGGGTTTTAGGACCGTTTGATTTGATCCAATGGTCGAGAATTTTTCAATATTTTGGGTTTTATAGTAATAATATGACACAGAAGAGTTTGTAATTACTAATTGAATTAATTTTAATAAGTACAAAGTTATCCCAATTAATTCTCAAAACCGTTAAAAATGTAGTTAAGTTTGTTAAAATACCGTTAAGATTGATAACGAATACGACAACATCGACATTTAAAAAACCTCAATATATTTATAAATATATAAATCATATAATAGATACGATAAAAATTATTAAAAATATTTAAATATGATAATTGAGGAAATTTATATAGTAAGGATTAATGATATAATATAATAACAACCGCATCTTATTGTAAAAAGAAAGGAAATAATTCAACTTCCAATTTGGTATTCCAAGTTTCTTTTTCTATTATTTCTATTATAGAAAGGAAAAACAAATTATTTAGGTAATTGGGTATAAATTATTTTGTTAAACTTAGCATTTTCGTTATTGGTTATGATGATGCGTTCAAGTAGGCAAGGTTGCAGTGGATCATAACCTTTGAGAATTTGAAGCTTTTTAAGGGATGAAGTTGAGGGAGAGAGAGATTCCCCTTTTACTCTTTTCAAACAGGTGTAATCTTTCAGTTTTTCATGCAAAGATGCTTGAGTGCTGTCAGCCACATCCTAATCACACTCTCCATTTGACTGCAGTTTTGAGTAAATCCAAGGGAGCATTGAATGACTTCACTTGGTTTGGTTACTCAAATTTATTATAGTATTCAAAGATTTTGATTTTATTATAATTATTAAAAATTTTTAAAACTTCATGAATGAATGACCATGGGTTTAAGAGTTACGTCATCATCACATCATCATGAACGTGTATTTAAAAACTACATCATCACATGTATCATCGTTGAGATACGAACCAACATGTACTTAAAAGCTATGTTATGGTCGTGCCATCATGAACATGTATATAAGAACTATATAATCATTGATATACGAAACATACATGTGTGTTATGAACATGTGTCTAAAAATTATGTCATCACAACATCATCACAGATTATATGTTTAAAGCTATATTACCGTTGTGTGTCATCAATATATATTTAAAAATCACATCATTGATGTAGGAAAGAATATGTATTTAAAAGCTATGTCACCATGAACATGTATTTAAAAATTAAATCGTCACCCGCATCTGAAAGAACCTATGTTTAAAAGTTACGTCATCATAAACATGGGTTTAAAAATTACGTCACCATCGTGTCATCACCGATATATGGAGTAAAAATCCATACATAATTTTACAAATAAAAAAAAAAGGTTGGGTCAGAAAGACAAGGTCCAGCTTTATTTCAAGACAATTCAGAGGAATTTCCAACTCAACTTCTTGTACAATTCAAACAAATCCAAGCTTGAATTCAAACTATTGAGTATGACAAAGCTCTGTATCAAATTGTATATTTAGGGAACCCCCAATCCTCAAAATACTTTCCTCTTTTGAATCCAAATGGCAAGTGTAACCAGTGGTATTTGCAAAAATCGAACTAATTAACAAAAACACATCTGAGTAGCAGAGACTTTGATTAAAAAGGACAGCAGATTAATAAGTTACTTTCGAGACAAAATTCAATTAAAATACTCAGTCATATAGCAATTTAGCTGATTGAGTTCTTGATTTCTTGCTTTCATTCTTTGAGTTTTTCTCACCATACTTCTCGTTCGTAGCGATAGCTTTTGCCACAGCCTTCATCTTCCGAACATTTTTTGATCTCTTCATTGGTCTTCCCTTCTTCGTCTTTCTGTTTCAAGATAAGTACACAGTTAAAGGGCTTGTTCAAAGAAGATAGCTTCAATACCAGCAGGAAACAATACCATAATAGAATGAAGATTAACAAATGATGAATTTTGACGAGGGCTACTTAAACAAGTACGTTTTAAGCAGCATTAGGCCTTGGGTTCATTCATAAATGTTTCTAAGTGACATTCTATTCTTAGACATCCGTTAAAAAACTGTTAGCACTTGCCGTTAAGCAATCATTCCACAGATCAAAATCTGATTACCAGGCCATGCAAGCAGGACTTATCTATATGAATGACCTATGTTATGGTAAGTTCCGTTACCTAGAAAAAACGACAAGACTAAAAGCAAAACAATAGAACAACGCCTCGAACTCCCAGAATAATAATATATCAAAACAAGCTTGCAAGATGAGAGAATGGAAATCATACAAGTTACTGACTGCCAAAAGGAAAAATCAGAAGGTCGACCATATACATTACACCCTCAACATACTAACAATCACTGACACATACAGACTTGCAAACAATCCTGATTTTTTCAAAAGCAGAATGAGAGCTTAAGAATCCAATAGCCATGCTTCAATCTTCGATTTATAAACCGGTTTGACCATACAAATCTAAAATATTCACTACCAATCACACTGCAGAGATGATCAAAAAATTCTTTAGGAAAACCCATCAAACAACATAATATAGACGCATCAATTTCGAATTATCTTAGAAAAACCTCAGTTTTAACTCCACGCTTTGCGCTCCACAGCAGCATTTACCCTTAAATTATACTATCCGAATATACTAAAAGAGTAAATTGATGTGAGGATTGACAACAATTCACTTCCCAAATGCTATCCTTTCCCTAAAACTTTAACTCAAATAAAACTAAAATATTCCACTAAGAATCCAAACGCACTCACAAAGCCATCATGAAGTAATTAATTCCTTCTCCAAAACATAACTTTTATCAAAATTAAAGGAATACTAACATTTTAGCAGCACCGGAATCAGGCTTTTGAGCTCCAGTCTCTGAAGAGTCCATTGCTGCACACATACCAAAATTTACATATAAATGACTACTTTTGTTAACGGCACATGCAAAAAAGGAATAAGAGAGAAAGGTGAAAGTTACCTTGAGGAAGATCAGGAACCGTGCCTTCGCTGTCGTCCATGGAAGCGGCGCCGCCGTTTCGCTTCTTCTTGTTTCTGTTTTTGGCCATGTCCTTAGGTCTAGAGATCAGAAAACAGAACCAGAAATTGAACGGTTAAACCCTAGGAATTGGGATTTTCCTTAGGAAGAAGCAGGAAGAGATCCGCGGCCGCCCTTCGAATTGAAATGGGCCTCCGGTTCCAGTTTTAATACTTTTTGGGCCAAAAAGAAATTGTAAAGATTTAGCCCATATTCAAAGAGTGGCTGAATCTATTGGGCCGGACGGCCCATCTTTAATAATAGCGAAGCTACTGGCATTATTTTTCTTCTCTCTTTTCTTTTTAATTTTTTTTAAGATAAAACTCTCCTTACCCCTTTTTTTAAGTTTCAATAAATATTAATAGGTTGAAGTTGCAAAGCATGTGGCAGGACAAATCACGTGACAAAATCCGTTACAAACAAATGACATGATAGAACAAATCACAAATAATAAAATCTATTTATTATGATTTTGTTGTAATCTATATTGTCACATGTTTTGTCATATGATATTATTTATTTTATTATAAATAGATTTTATATATAATCAAAATTTAACTTTTTTTCGTATAACACTTTACGATTTTATTCTCAATTAATACTTTGTAAATATATCTTTTCGTAATTTAACATTTTGTGAATAACGTCTATTTATAAAAAAGTTAAAGTATTACTTTTATGTAATAAAATTAATAAACATCTTTCAACTTGTACGAATATGTTAACTTTGAATTGAGTATATTTTGATAATTTTACAAGATAAACGTTAACAATTTAACCCTTGATTTATAAAAAAAAACAGTTTAACCTCTCATAAAAACAGAAATTATTAAACACAAATGCTAATTGAGAAAAAAAAATCCATAAAATCATAACATGTCAGGTGAGAAAACTAACCAAAAGGCAGGAAGAGAAGGAAAAGCATTCAACTGGTAAGTCCTTAGGGTCATTAAAAGTTTGATGGATTCTGGTCTTTTACTTTCATGCACAAAGGGAAACATGTCTTTCTTTCTTGTCTCAATTATCTGGTTTAATCCTTCTCACTTTTTCAACCGTGGGCTGCCCAGATAAATCAACCCCCAAAGCTTAATAATGCCTGAATCAAGTGCTTTCTTTGAGAACCAGGCCCATTGATTTGCTGGAACCTGTTCATTTATTTATTTTTTCCCCAAAAACAAACAGTTTTCTGCAATGGAAACATCATTCTCTGTCACATGGAACCCTGATTTGGATGGTGCTTGTTTTGTTTTTCCCTGTTTCAACAATGTTAGTAAATGGCCAAACTAGAAGATCCTGTCTAGTTAGACAAAATTATTGCTGTGCATAAAGAGCAATTACTTCAGCTACTCCCCATGTTATCAATCAGACATGATGAACACAACAACACCAGCTTGACTTTGGATTTCCTTTTTGGCAAGAAAACAGGTAGATAGTTTTGATAATGGCCCCCCCAATCAGCCCCGTTAGGTGGCGTTAATCATTCTCGGATGCCACCATCAATTCTGGCCAAACCTCCTGTTTATGACAACTCTCTCACTCATATCCATCACCTTCCTTTTACAAATAATAATTCACTTCTTAACGAAAATGAAAACCTATTTAAAGTCTCGCGATCCGAAAAAGTTCAGTAAAAACTTTACTCTTTCGAGTAGAAACTCTGAGTGTCACGATTTAAAAAAAAAAATTTATGAATTCTGAATATTTAAGTATTTATATTTTCATCAATCTGTAAAAAACTTTTTCGTAAAACAAAAACGTGAAGCTTAATAAATCAATATGGTCTATGCTTTACAGGGTGGGATGGAACATGACACTAAGCTTATGAAAGCTTAATTTGGCCTTTTAACATGTCCTGTAAATTATGGCCATGGCAAGCATTGCATACAGGAATACAGGACAAGCGATGCAAACTATCCAGGGGGTACTCCCTGGATTACTCCACTTCACAGGAATCAATAAAAAAGAAGGAAAAATGTAGTGTCATCAGCAGATATCCTTTAGCTTGGAAACTACTCAATCTGGGAATCGCATTGGGAGGAGGAAGAAGCCAAAGCAAAGCATGAGAAAACATTTGGCAGATATATACTTTTAAGACCATTTGGATTGAAGATAGCTACCATTCCAACTCCTTTTGGGGACTAGCCACTGTAAGTTGTCAGAAGTTTCATCTTAACCCTCCATCATGCTCAATGATTAAAGCGTGTCCAAAGCCACATGACTCAACAAAAAAAAAAAACACTAAAGAAGATGCACCCAAACCACTTTATTTTCCCACAGCAACATGCTCCTCTTGCAGGCGCCGTTCACGTCCCACTCCCGGTATTGAAAATCCTACCCAATAAAGGTAGGTCCACTAGAGATATCTAAAAAGGTTGAACCACAGGTCACATGCATAGGAAATTAGGGCATTCATCAAAGCATTACTTTCTCTGATTAAGGGTGTTACTTATGATCCAAGAACATAACATGGTCTATGTTGATATATTAAAGAAATCTTCACACACGTCGATCGAGATCAAACTTGACTTGATTATTTTACAATTAATTTGAAACAATCGACGTTTTCGTTACGTTGACATAAGAGTCAATTAATGAGATAAAATTAGTTTAATCACTTAATTAGTGTTTGTTTATGCCAAACTCATGTAGAGTATGATTTTTTATATTCTCCCTTCTAGCTAGGCAATGAGAGGTATTTAGATGATTGCCAAGAAATGATTTCTGTTGACGTGAGATTCTGAGAATTCCCAATGGAATTTTTTAATTAGAACATGAAATAATGATTGAATTGCTGCTTAAAAAAAGGCAAATATTAACTTTTAATGCAAAAAAAAAAATTATCCCTGGGAATATTGGTAAAACCCTAATTATAATATTCCAGACAAACTTTATACTGCATGGTCATGGGTTCCATTTAGGAGACATCTTCATGAAAATTCTTGCCTTTTTTAATTAATGATGTTTGCTAATTGCTACTCCAAAGACTCCTTGAAAGGATAATTATCAAAGCATTTTTTTTAACTATATTTCTTAAACTTGGAAGTTGATTCATCAAACAAATAAAAAATTACTCTCCCCTTTTTTTTATTTTCTTGAAGATTAAGATAAAAACTTTGATTTTAATATATTTTATATTAAAATTTAATTTTTTTTTATAATATAGAAATTCTGACATGAGTCTCATATCAGTAAAAAATGATATAGGTTAAAGAGTTCATATATAAGAGCTTTTCTACGTGTTTTTTGAATTGAATTTATAAGTCAGTGACAAGTGATATTAAAGTTTACCTAATTGTTAACTAATGTGAGATTTCATAAGGGATAACAGAATCCAAATAGGCCAAATCAAAGTAAGCAGCAGCGAGTGCAGTTCATCATCCCTCAATTTTTTTTATTTTATGTATAAAATTTGAGATATATAAATTTATAATCTTCTATGATTGTCTTTTAATTATTTCTCATACAAAATCCTAAATCTATCATTGAAGTTAAGTTTTTGTTTTCTTGGATGAAAGAACAAGTGCAACGTTTCAGGGTGAATCTGTGGTATCACATGACATCCCTTATTCATTGATATTTCAAAAATTTCTACTTTGTTATATTACTTATGTTAAAATTTTAAATAACTAATAATGTAAATGGATCCATTAATTTTTGTATAATTTTGTAGAGAGTGAGCCAAAGATTTTAAGTTAAAATAGATTTATCAAAAAGTAATTTATATGTTAATATTTAAATATTACATGAAAAGAAAAATTTTCTTCTATAATTTAAATATAAATATTTTTTAATTATTTTTGTTTTAATTATAACACCATTTACAAAAATTTCTAAGTCTAAGAGATAATAATATGCATGAATCGTGACACAAACATGTATTAAGGAAATTATAAATAAGAGTAAATTACATAAACTTCTTAAGTTTTAATCAAAATTTCGAACGGATTCATTAATTTTTAAAATAAATATTTTATAAAAAAATCTTTTGCTAGACATGTAAATCAAACTGTTAATAAACCATTAATATTTTCATTAATTTAATGATTTGAAAATATTAGGAGAATAATTTTACCCTTTATTATATAACACTAATTAAAAAAATTCCTGAATCTAAAAGATAATAATATGCATGAATTGACACAAACATGTATTATAAGGAAATTATAAACAATGAATTAATGAGAATCCAACCTTTGGGAACAGTTTGGATTGTTGGGTAAGCCGTGTGATTGGGAACCAGCAAAGCTGCTGGCAAAATGAAAGAGAAGCTCGAGTCTCAAAAGTCGACAAATTATCGTACTTCGATGCAGGCTTTAGTCATGGCAGAGGAATACAGCAAAGTGACAATGAGCTTTGCATAGAAATGAAGAAAACTACAAAGTGTGAACTATAAGCAAGTAATCTCAACCAATTAGACAATATATATATAAATTAATTAATTATCTCTTTTTTTTATTTTTATTTCTAATTATACAAAGTATTTACTAATAAATTTATCATTGTAATTTTATAAATTTTTGTTGTTTTTAATCAATGTTCTTAAAACATTTAATTTAAAAAATACATGTTTATATATCAAAGTTAATCATGTAGTGTTAATTTAAAAATATTGATATATTATAATAAATGATGACACTATCATTAAATATTTTACTTTTTACGTTAATATCATTTGACATAAATAATGATAAGTGATATTTTGATTAACAGCAATCAGTTAACCAATAGTTAATTATAATATACTATTTGTTTCAAAATAAAATTATAAAAATTTAATTGAACATAGTAAAATAATAAATATATATTTAAATTTTTTGAATAATTTAATAATTTTTTAAAAAATTATTTTGCAAATGCACCAACTATTTCCTTTTCAAACACATTAATTTAAAAAAGTCAAACGAAAACAAACAAAATGGGATAATTTTTCGATTCCAAAAAATGGGAAAAAAATACAAACAAACAAAGAAAAGCCAAGTTTAAACAATTATTGGTAAATTAAAACTAAAATCTATAATATTGGTCTAAACAATAACCAATAATTGCAAAGGGTTCAATCAAATGGGGTCCCAATGTTGGCACTAAGGCCCATTTAGCACATAAAATTAGGGGGAAAGGTACAAGCAATGAGATTCCAAT